CCATTTAGTGATACTTTATAAAATCATGTTGCAAATATGTATGTATGTGTGTGTGTTTATCCCTAAATCTTAATGTTCTTGAGGAAATCTGATTAAAAGTGTTTAGTTTTTAGTTATTTGAGGTCTTCTGACCCTGCTTTAAAGACTTTATACACTGTAATACATAATGACAAGTGTTAAAACGTTTCATAAACAGTAACTACAATTAAAAAAGAAAAGTATACACAGTCCTAACCATTCATCAAATCATGTTCTCGTATACTTTCCAATTCTTTTATATATATATGTGTGTGTGTGTGTGTGTGTATATATATAGTAATTTTTTTGTTATTGCCATCAGGATAGACAGTATTTTTGCTGGCTTGGTTTTTTAGCCGCACTGTGTGCTTGTGGGATCTTAGTTCTCCAACCAGCCTGGGCCATGACAGTGAAAGTGCAGAGTCCTAACTCCTGGACTGTCAGGGAAGTCCCGAGGATAGATGCTATTTGTACTCTTTCTCACTGGTTATTATATTGTCATTATCCTTGTTTCTATACAGACTTCCTTATATAATTTTGAATGATGACTTGCTATGCCAATTAGGTTGATTTGCTGTAATTTAATAGTTCTCTGACCTTGGACAGTGATGGTTTCCATCTTATATTATTAGAAACAGGCATACAGTGAAGTGCTGCCCCACCTCCCAGTCACCTGCTGTCATCTACCCTCCCAATCCTATCTTGTTATTGAGACAGCTCTGGCCAGGATGATCTGTGGTTCTCTTCTTGGTGAACATCTTCTGTTCTTAACTGAACTCTTCAAAGTTCCATGTTGGCTGTTCTTCCCTTCTTGAAATTCATTCTTCTCTTGACTTTTTGGACACCTTACTGCAGTGGATTTTTCTTCTTTTCCTTCTGGCAGTTCCTCTTTTATCTCTACCTGGGGTCTTAAGCTTGCCTCCTAAGTATTGGCATTCCCTGGGATCTTCCCTAAGTATTGGCATACCCTTATTCTTTTCCTGCCTCAGTTTTTGTCATGTTTCTGAATATTCTCATTACCTCCCATGACATCAGCTTTCTTGATACACTGGCAATTTCCAAATCTCTTCCTCTACCCCAGATCTCTCTACCTAAGATCTCGTTAATGCCTGGCACATAGTAGACACTTGAACATCTCCACCTGGAGGACCCATGGCCCTCAAAACTCAATCAGTCCTTAACTAAATTCACCATCCTTCCTCAAGCCCCTCCCAAGATCTGTTCCCATTCCTTTGTTTCCTCTTTTGGCAAAAGTCACTGTCATCTACTTAGTTAAGCCAGAAACCTAAGAGTCACCTTAGACTCACTTCCCTTTTCCTTACCTCATATCTGATCAGGCAGTGACCCAGTCTGCTGATTCCACTTCCTTCATCCCTTGAACTGGCTTCTTTTGTCTAACTTCATAGTCACATCATCTCTCACCTGCATTCCCACAAAAATCCTTTTTTTGTTGTTATTGTTGGCCTTGTCATTCTTACTGATGCCCCTCCCTGCAACCCCCACCCAACTCATCCATTTTCCAAGAAGCTGACAGAGTGATCTTCAAAAAATGCCAGTCTAATCCCACTTCTGCAGTGTCACAGTAGAACACAAACCCTCTTTGCCTGAACAACCTTCCCTCCTGCTACCTCAACAGCGAGCCTGTGGTCTCTTCCTTTTTTCTCCACTGGATATTTGTTGTCTTCACCTGGAAAGCTTTCTCCTCTTTTTGTCTCAAAAAGTCATTCCTCCCTGTTCTTTGAATGTGTAAGCTGCTATCTCATCTCTGGAAAGACTTTGCTAAACCCCATACCCCTATCTGAGTGAGGAACCCCTCCTGAAAGACCCTAGACTACCCTGAGCCTCCAGGAATCTTGGTACTTAAATGGTTTCTTATAATTTACTAATTGTCTACTGTAGTAGGCTGAACTCTGAGGCTAGAGCCCAAGTGTTGTATTGGGGTTCTGACTTTATAGAAAGTGTTTAGTAATTATTTGTTGGATAGAAGTTCTTTGGAGAAACAAAATTCTAGGAATGGGGTTCACATGTGCAAGACCACTTGTGAGAAATATATACTAGTATCACTTGCTCTTCCAAAGAGTTGTATAGATTTATACTGCCACCAGCAGTGGTACTGTATCAATTGAAAGACTTGTTTCAACATGAGTCAGAACTATGTATTGTGTCAGAATGTTGGTGTTTCTGCTATAAAAGTATGTCATCGTTTGGAGTACTGTAATGTATTAGAAGAGCTTTCCTGGTGGCTCCGTGATAAAGAATCTACCTGCTCAAGCAGGAGACTTGGGTTTGATCCCTGGATCCGGAAGATCCCATGGAGAGGGAAATTGCCACCCACTCCAGTATTCTTGCCTGGGAAATCCCAGGGACAGAGGAGCCTGGCGGGCTACAGTCCATGGAGTTGAAAACAGTTGGACATGCCTTAGCAACTAATAAACAGCCACAATGCAATAGAACTTTATGCAGCGATGGACATCCTATATCTACACTATCCAGTATGGGAACCCACAAGTGTATGGCTACTGACTGAGCACTGGAGATATGACTAACATGACTAAGAAACTGGACTTTGTTTCTTTTCATTTTAATTTAAATTTAAATGTATCCAATACTCACATGTGACAAGTGGTTATCCTATTGGACAGGGCAACTCTAGAGAGGAAGAGGAAAATCATTCAGCAGATATGATTGCTACATTCTGGGTTCCTTTCTTTTTAAATGCTAGTGGGATAAGCTCACATCACTAAGGTGTGACCAGTTCACAAATGGTGTCATTGTTATTATTAGTCAGCACTGCCTAATTTGGGAAACTTTTTTTTGTGTGTGTGCTTTCATCAGGAGAGTAACACCTCACCTCAGGAATACAACCAAAGCATCTAATTCTGGAGACTTAAAGAAAACTGGGAAATGTTACTCACAGTGCTTTTTATTCAGAGGTAGGCACTTCGCCATTCCAAAGGAGGCCAGAAGCCTAACACTTTCAGAGGCATCTGCTCGACTTGTTTTTCCACATAAGTTGCCAAACTTGTTTTCATTAGGCAGGAAATGAAGCAAATTTTCAGGGAGAGAGCCTGGCATCTGTGTCTCCATCTCTTCAGCGGGTCCATCAATGCTTCTAACTTCTGGTGCTGTGCTTTAGTCGCTTACTCATGTTCAGCTCTAACAACACCATGGAATGTAGCCCACCATACTCCTCTGTCCATGGGGATTCTCCAGGCAAGAATACTGGAGTGGGGCTGCCATTCCGTTCTCCATCTACCTTCTGGTAGGCCTAGGTAAACTATGCACTATTCAACCTAGGAGCAGGATGGACTGAGTTTTTCTCTCTCACAATGTGGTTTCCTTAAGATTTCAAACCCAAAGGTATATTTTTATTCAGTGTACCTGTTTTGATTCTCTAAATAACTTACATGCCTTTAAAATAAGGTAACTTTTATTTATTGTGGACAATTATATACACGTAGACTTCTCTGGCGGCTCAGACAGTAAAGAATCCACCTGCAATGCGGGAGACCTGGTTTCCATCTCTGGGTGGGGGAGAGCCCCTGAAGAAGGGAATGGCTACCTACTCCAATATTCTTGCCTGAAAAATGCCGATGACAGAGAAACCTGTTGGGCTGCAGTCCATGGGGTCGCAAACAGTTGGACACTACTGAGTGACTAACACACAACAGAGGACTCTACAATGAATAAATGTACTGAGTTGAATTTGATGAATCCTGCCTGATAAGCATTTATGACCTACTTTGGGGCTTCCCTTCCCTTGTGGTTCAGCTGATAAAGAATCCCCTGCAATGTGGGAGACCTGGATTCGATCCCTGGGTTGGAAAGACCCTGTGGAGAAGGGAAAGGCTACCCACTCCAGTATTCTGGCCTGGAGAATTCCAAGGACTGCTACAGTTCATGGGGTCGAAAAGAGTCGGGCAGGACTGAGCGACTTTCACTTTATAAAAAAAAAAAAAAGCCCCAGAAGCTGTTGATGGAAGAGGAGTTTTAATCTCTACTGGAGTTGGGAATGTGCCAAAGAGATAACTTGGAATATATTTTCCTCAAAAGTCTTGTATTTAACACGAACATCTCACACCCTCCGAATTCAGGGTATCAATTGTTGAGCCCAGAAACGTGGGGGTACAGTCCTAGGTGTGTATGTGTGTGTGTTGGCTGGCCGGTCTGGTCTCTAGGCAGGACAAAAAGAAACTTTGGAGATTCCCTGGTTCTTTCTTTTGCAAACCTCTCCAAAAAGTGTTCCTACAAGCTGCGCACGCGACCTTGGGGGTAGAAAGAAAGTGAAAGTGTCAGTCGCTCAGTAGTGTCTAGCTCTTTGCGACCCCGTGGACCCACCAGGCTCCTTTGTCCATGGGGTTCTCTAGGCAAGAATACTGGGATGGGTTGCCATTCCCTTCTCCAGGGGAATCTTCCCTACCCAGGGATCCGAGCCTCCGTCTTCCGCATTGCAGGCAGATTCTTTCCCCGCGGACAATGAGACCACCCCGCACTCGCTGCTGCACGCGAACCTGCAGCGCTTCCCCGGCGCGCGCCCGGAGCCGGACCTGCTGCCCCGAGTGCGCGCCGCGGAGCGAACCATCGGGTCCGCCGGAGGGGGGTTGGGCGTGAGGGCCGCCGGACGCTCGGTCCTCGGGGTCTCCCTGCTGCCGCCCCCCTCTTCGGTCCTCGGCCGAGAGTCGCGCACGGCGCTCCGCGGGGACTCCGGAGGCACGGCGCCTGCAAGCCCTCCCCCCGGCCGTGCAGGGGTGGTAGCGGCCCACTTGAGAGTTTCCGCGGCCAGGCAGCCGGCGCAGAGGCGCAGCGAGGGGGCGGGTCGTTGCCGCCGCCGCCGCCGTGGAGGGAGGGACAAAGGGGTGGGTCCCCGCGGACTTGCACCGGGCTAAAACCCGGCTGCGGGGCGGGGGACTGACCTGCAGCCTGGACAAGGAGGAGGACTGGGGCCCAGGACTGGCACGCCCACGCGGGACCCGCGCCCGAAGATGCCGGTGCGAGGAGATCGCGGGTTTCCACCTCGGCGGGAAATGTCAGGCTGGCTCCCTGTGAGTTCCATCTTGCGTTCCGCTTGGTTGGGAGAAGGGTCGCGAGGAGAGAGCCTGGGAGCGCGTGGTGGGCTTCCCGGATGCGCCATGGGTGACTGGGATTCTCATTCTCCCATGGGGAGGTGGGGTTGAGGGCAGCGGGTAGGTTTCACCGGACGGCGGTGGTGGATCGTGGCCTCCGAGGCTCCTGGATCCTTCTCTGTTCTCTGAAGTCACTTGGGTTTCGCGTTAAGTCCCGAGTAGGGAAAAACTGTCTTGAACTCTGTCTTGGATCCCTACTACTTCGGGGGCGTCTCGCTGTGCCTGCCCTGTGCCTGAGTTTTGCTTCTCGGTTCCAAACCCCACTCTCCGGTTGATGCAAAATTACAGGCGTGTGTGCGTGAGACTCAACTGACAACTCTTTGGACCAGAATCCTCATTTTCCCTTTTAATCAGTTACATCTGCAGTAGAAGTAAAAGTTGTTTGCTGTAGGAAATGAAGATGGGGTTTGGAAGGACGCCACGAGAAGAGAGTGATGAATTGTTTGTACTCTGGTATTATCTTACCTGTCACCAGTTCCTTTTCTGTCTGCATTTATGAAGTCTCTGCTTTACACAGTAGTTTATTTAAATTATAAATAATCAGGGTTTTGACTACAGGGTTTTAACATTCTTGAAATGTGGATGAACTTGGGAGTGAATACTCCAGGGCTTAGTAATGGAAAGGAATACAGCCTCCCACCTCTGTTTTAGCTTCAGTTAGGCAGCGCTGCTGTCTTGGCAGCTGTCTAGCCTGAGTAATGGTTGTGGTTTCCCTGCAGTTCCCAGTGGAAACTGCCCTCATAGAAACTGCCCTCATCCCGTCATAGAAACTGCCCTCCCTTCCTCAGTTAGGGGAATCCCAGCCGAGAAGGCAAGAGGCCCTTGTCCTCAGATCTTTAGGTGGTCTGGGCCAGCTGTGCTGACACTCTGGGAGAACAAGTCCACTTGTGTCTGGATTATTCCTGGGCGAGACAGTCTGCATACAGACCTTGGAATTAGACTTTGCCTTTTAAGTGAGGAATTAGTGGTCATGATTGCATTTGTAGCAGAGTGCCATGTTATATTCTGCCTTAGAGAATTAAATTTGGTTATTCGATAAAGTTTCATGACTGGCTTCACTTCAGTGTGGGGATGCCTCTGTCACCCTGTCTTGTTGGGGAAGAATGCAAATCTTTAAGACTCTTATGTACTCCGATTAGAGATATGAACAGGATGCTGTAGCTTTCCCTCTTTGGGGAGATGAAAGAAGCGGGGTGCCTTACTAAGGCGATGGTGGCTTTGAGGTTTTTTTGCACTTTTTCCGAGCTGCTGTCAGAGATTGACGAAGGGAGATCTCCCCCGCCTCGATTTGTTGCTGCAACTTTTTCAGGACCACTCAGCTAATAGCATAATGATCACCTACTTGTGCCGGTCCATTGTGAAGAGGTGAGTGCGTGAGATAAGCAAGACTCAATTTCTGTCTTTTAAGAGTCTGCTGTGCAAGCTGAAAATTTTAGGTGTGTTTTTAGATTGTGCAGACCCTCTCTGCTGGGATACCTGTGGCTGAAGGAGGGAGTGTGGGATACAGATGCACACTCTGCAGTACAGAAATGCAACAAAGCGTGGGATTGTCCTGTGCACACTCCCTTCAGGGATTCTTTTGGGGAAGAAAGTTTGCCATTTGAACAGATTCCTCACAGCGTCAGTCAGTCTAGAAGATGGGGCTAATAACACACCTCACAGGGTTGAGTGAGAACTGAGTGAAATGTGCCAGGGTGCCTGACTAGTGGGTGCTAAATAAACAGTAGCTCGTATAGTCGTTCCCCGGTATCATGCAAGGGGGGAGAATGGTTCTGGAACCTCTGTAGGATACCAAAATCCAAAGGTGCTCAAAGTCTTTAATATAAAATGGCATACATAGTATTTTCCTGTAACCTCAAGGCATCCTCCTGTACACTTTAAATCATCTCTAGGTTAAGATCCCCTAGTGGAGGGGCATGGCAACCCACTCCAGTATTTTTGCCTGGAGAAGCGCATGGACAGAGGATTCTAGCAGCTGTGTTCCATAGGGTTGCAAGTAGTCCCGTAAGACTGAAGTGACTGAGCATGCAAGCACAGGCTACTTACAATACCATATACAATGTAAATATTATGTAAATAGTTGTAATCACAATGTAAATGACGTGTAAATAGTTCTTGGGGTGACAAATTCAAGTTTTGCTTTCTGGAACTTTCTGGGATTTCTCCCCTGCCCCCATACATTTTTGGTCCATGATTGGTTGAATCCTCAGGATATGGAGGGCTGACTGTAATATGAACCAAAACAGGTGCTGAAAACTCTTACTCTTACATGCAGGATCCTGGGTTACTAAGGCAAGTGGGACCTAGAAGCACAAGTAGGAGATGCCAGGTAGGTATCAGGGCAGTTGCTGGGGGAAGGAACAAGAGATGCTCATACTCTTGAAAGACCTTGAATTCCAGTAAGAGAACTTTAAGAAAAAGCCACAGAAATCCCTAATGTATTAATGACTTGACTTTTCCTGCAAAGGAGTGAGCCAGTTTTCTAGTAAACACTCTACCCCACACCCCCTACATAGGATATATTACTATTTGGGGGGCACTCATATGCTTAAGATCTTAAATTTTTTAGCATCACTTGCTGGGGAGTTCCATTTGCAAGGATTTCTGCCTCCATTTGTTTAACTTTTAGTCTAATTCTTTGTATATTGACAAAAGGTCGCAGCCAGACATTTCTCTTCCGTGGGAGAAATGCCTGGGAATTCGAGGGAGCTGATAAAACCCCTGGTGACTTCAGCAAGTTTTTCTTTTCTGAAGACGTTCTTCTTGGGAGACAGATAAGTCCTTGAAACTAGGCAGGGCCACTTGAGTCTTGTGTGCCATCATATGTTCTATAGTTGAAAAAGTCATGCAGATTTGGTGGGAGAGTAGCTTTATGTGTGGGAAGGGCGGGTGGGGTGAAGAGTTAGGAAGGGTTAGTAGTCACGCTGAGACTTTCAGCATACCTCTACCAAAAACATGAGCCATCAGGGAATTCCTTGCCTAATCCCTAAAACAAACCCCATTGAGGAGCTGTGGCTGTAGATTAGTTTATCTCAGTTGAGAGCTGATACCCTATAAAATGCCTTGTTGATCAGACTTGAGGCAGTAATCACAGGGCAACAAGTGCTGGGCAGGAATGGCCTTGAACCAGCCAGCCTTGGGGTTGAGAAGAATTTTCATTGAAAATTAAGTGGGCATGGTAGAATGATTGTCTAAGATGTTTTACTGAGTTCATTTGTTCATCCTAAATCAGGGTCAGACAGGTAGACTCAGGGGTCAGATTCAACACCTGTTTAGTGGGTTAAAAACTTGTTTTACATGGCCCTTTTAAAAAAAAATTTTTTTTTTTTTTTTTTTAAGTTTTTTGGCTGCACTAGATCTTCATTGCTGATCATGGGCTTTCTCTAGTTGCAATGAGCCGGGGCGATGCTCTCGTTGTGGTGCAAGGGTTTCTCCTTGTGGTGGCTCCTCTTGTTGAGAAGCACGGCTGTCGGTGCACAGGCTTCAGTAGTTGCAGCACATGGGCTCAGTAGTTGGGGCTCGTAGGTTTAGTTGCTCCACAGCATGTGGGATCTTCCTGGACTAGGGATCTAACCCTTGGCCCCTGCAGTGACAGGTGGATTCTTAACCACTGGACCACCGGGGAAGTCCTACATGGGCTTTTTTTAAGGTTCAGAAAGAAATGTTCCCTAAGGCAATTTAGAACCTACTTCATCCCCACAGGAACTTTTATGATTACCCTTTTGAGTAAAAGCTCCTTTAGCTAGCAAATTGATGAGGGTCTGAGATGGTATCTCCATTAAAAAGTTTGCAAAAGTCATATAACAACAATGGAAAAAAGTTATCAGGCAGTCAGTCCCACTATCTGCTATTGGCAATAGCTAGTTCCAGGTTTGAAGGCTACCTAGGAAAGAAGCCAAGTAAATCTGTACGCTGCCCATGTCACCGTATGAGGAAGAGAGTTCTGAGGTGGAAAGTACCAGTGTCCACTTTTGCAGCTTCATTAGGAAATGCCCTTCCTAGAACTTGACCTCTGACTGCTAGAGCCCAGGCAGTCCTGCGTGGGCCTTCCCCTAATGGTGACTGTTTCATTCTGGCTTTTTAAGGGGACTAGAGTCTCTTTCATCCAAAGCTGCATCAGCCTCGATCACCTGTGAGCTCAAAAGGGAGATGCAGGACTGTCATTGGAAAGCCATCTATTAAGTTTGTTACGCATTTTCTCTTGTCTTTTTTGCTATCTCCTGAACAGTATTTTTTTCCCAAGTGTGTTGTACAGACAGACTGTACAGGGGGGGGCATTGCCCTTTCTTTAATTACCGTGCATTCCTCTTGTATAAATAAAGAACGTAAAGCCAGTCTGTAAACTCATTTATTTCATGGATAGTTTGCTTAGAATGGGGCAAAAATAAGTATTAAGTAAAACAGTGAGTTTGATTTAAGAAAAATAGTAAATTGTCAGGATGAGTGGAGTGAGAATAAGATAAAAAATTGTGAAGAGAGCCCTTGAAATCTGAGTTTTGGAAAATACTCTTAAATTGTGAGTGTGACATTTAGGTATGGAGAGCTAGGTATACCTCAACCACACCTTCAGGAAAGTCAGCACAGCGTGGCCCAGAAAAGACAGGAAAGTTGAACTTGATGGACTTATGTCTTAATGCGTGCATCGAGCCATTGTCTACCCAAGTCCTCTTATCTGTAACTGCAGACAGTGTATTTGTGAAGCTATTTAATGTCTTCCGTAAGTCTCATTCCTTTCTCTGCTTTCCGTGAGCCATTCTGCAATATTAAGGTCCGTTGGTGTGACATTTGCAATAGGATAGCGTGAAGAGAGGCAGAGAGCTTTAGCCCTCCTGGAGGACATACCTCTGTTACCAGATGCATCTTCGTCACCATTCATCGGTGCTTAAGAGGAGAGAGACCCAAGCAGCCTCCCATGATGC